ACCAATGGAGAAGGTAGTGGAACAGATGAGAATGATAAAAGTAGGTAATATAAGACAGAAGACAGAACTGTAGAAATTAAGTGTTCAGCAGAGTGATGGCACCAGGAAAAGAAAAGAACTGTATTTGCATCTAGTTGTTTTGGCATGCAGTTTATTTCAACTACTAATTGTTACTAATAAGCACTAATCTGGGTAGGATCCCTCTCAAAAGATATTTGTACAGGCACTTGTACTCTTTAATGGATGCTGAACATGCTTTCAGAGAGATAAAGTAATTTACTCCTCTTCTGGATTAAAACATGCCAAAGATTAAGACTAGCCAGTACCAAAGCAGTACCCTCTATTCACAGAGTATCTCTGCAGTCCTGAATATGCAGCTTGGGTTAGTTATCTTGTGCCACTATCTTATCTTGCTACTGATCCACCAATAAGGAAACAGGAAATTGAAAAAAAGTCAGACTACTCAATAGTCTCCAGAGGCATGAATGATAGCTGCTCAGCACTTTTAGCGCCCAGACTGTGTCCAGCATCAACCCAGGCAGGGGCCATCTGCTCTCTCCAATTCAGGGTCCCTGCTTCTGCTCCTCCACAAATGCCAGCTAGCTCAGTTTGAGAAGGAGGAGTCGTTGGAGGGCTTTAAAAGACTAAATTACTGAAATTGAGGAAATTCCTACCCTCTTCTCGGTGGAGCTTCAAACAAGCCATTTATAACCAGCCGTAAAATGTTTGCAGCTGGGGTGCTATATAAGCCATTTGTCTTAGCAATGGCATTCCTGATGCTACAGAGTATGTCCCACACTTGGAAATATATGTTCCCTTAGAAATGCCCATACCCGGGCAAAGGACTGGCTCTCTTGTTAGGTAAAGGAAGAAAACAAGAAGGAAGACTTCCTGAATTGGATACCTTCAAAGCAACTCACCACCTGCAGAAGTGATATAGGGGCTCAATTACAAGGGTTGATTCTAGTAAAGATTCCCTCAGGCAGACAACATGGGCACATCCTTGTAAAACCTTTGTAGTTCTATTAAAATGAATATGAATTCATTTGCTGTGGCTATCTTCAGAAATATTTTTTTCATACTAGTCTACAGCCCACAGATTTCCTGGTGATCTCCCATCCAAGTATTATCTAGATCCAACTCTGCTTAGTTTTTTCAGGATCAATCAGAGTTGGCTGGGACTCTCATCTCCTGAGGCCTTGTGTTAAAGTTTCCCTCAGGTCAAGCTAACCCCTGGTGATTTTGTAGAACATCTATATGGTTTTCTTAGTGAGAATATGGAAATGTTCTGTCACTGTTATCTTACAGAATTTTTTTGATGTAAATTTCCTTAATTGACAGCTCTGGGATTTCTGGATGGCCCATCTAATTCTATACACAATCACACCCATGGTACTTACATACTATCCTCACAGATTAGTCACCATCCTCCCAGTTCCTCTGAAGCCATTTATTTGACCTGATTTTCTGCAATCAAGTTCTAATGTTTCAAGCAAAAGGATCCTATAAAGTTCAGTGAAGTTACTAGCCCTCCTTGTATATTTGATTTGATTCAGTTGCTTCTATTCAGTTGCTTTTATTCATACTTAAATTGCAGCACATCATCAACCCAGAAGGAACATATATAATCAACATTCTTCAATATATAATAGATGCTCTGCCCAAGGGCATATGCTTATTTGCAAGCATGTACATTGCCTGTATGATAAGTTCATTTGTGATTGCTGACATTCATTAAAGCTTTCTCCTGATTGCTCCCTAAATTCCCACTTCATTGCAAAACAAAATTCCAAAATTTTGTGAACCTGATCAATAAAAATAAATAAAAGGCAGACAGAAACATCGTACTAGAAATGTGTTCCCGAAAACATAAGACCTGAGGCAGAGGTGCACTGCTTTCAGTCTGCAGCAAAGTCTAGGAAAAAAATGTCCAGGTCACAATGCTGGTTAGTAAAGAGAATGTTGGTGACATCACAATGCTCTGATGCATATGTACTTGTAGCTGCTATGGGAGTCATCATCAGAGGCAGTATTGTGTCATACAGTTCCAGCTGACCTGAAATCATTAGGAAACCTTTTTTTCTACATTGTATTTGCATCACCACGTTACCGCTATTGTTAGTTCTTCTGATCATGTGCACTCTTTCACTCTAAAGAGGAATTATGAAACCCTCGGGAAAGAAACCCACTCAGTTTTTTGTTTTGAAAAGTGATATGAATTGTAGGTGGTGCCAAATCCATAAATCAGCTTTCCTCAACTTATTGTCCTCTTGATGTATTGGGACAAAGCAGACAAACCATGGCTAACGGCTAAGGATTAGGGGAGTTGTAGTCCTAGATTACCTGGAGGGCAACAGCTTGAAGAGATGGTATCTAAATACCATATAGTTCATACAGGCTACCACAAGGAAAACATTATAATTTATAAGGAGGCACCCCAATTAAAGTTTACCCCAAAACTGTGGCCAGGAAATTTCAAGCTATAAAAATATACACCTACCCTGCTCATGCCCAGAGGCACTCCCTACTACTTAAGTCTGGTTAGTTGGAAAAGGAAGAGGAAAAGGAGAATTATTATTAGTATGTGTTCTCAAATGATCTGACAGGCCTTTCTCCCACTCAAACCTTTCTACACTAACGAAATTGCGGTTTCCCTGCCATGTCAGTAACAGCAACAGCTGTAACACAGTTGGAAGGGACCTTCGAGGTCATCTGGCCCAACCCCCTGCTCTCGCAGGAGACCCATACTATTTCTGATAGACGGTTTATCGAGTCTCTCCTGAGACGCCTCCAGCGTTGGGAGATCCAGATTTCCAAAGGCAATTTTGTCCCACTACTATTTCCCCTCTCTTCTTACGGGGAAGCGTCTTCTTGCTCCTCCAACGATCGGGGCTAAAGCCGAAATTCTCCCAAGGAGCGTTTTGATTTTTTTTTCAGCAAGCCAGCGAAAGAGTTAAAGCGCCACATTTCCCAGCCAGCGTTCGGGCAGCCCGGGCGGGGTGGGGCCGCTCCAAATGAAACCGCTTTGAAAGCGAGCTAAGAGGGAGCGGGCGCGAACTCCCATCGGGCGCGGGGGAGGGAGGGAAAGAAGGAACTCAACACTCAAAAACTCCATCCCCAGGTATTCCCCTGCGACGCGGCTGCGAGCCTGCACCCGCTGGGCGTGTGTGCGTGTATAAATATACATCTAAGACTTTTGCTTTTCCAAGTTGTAAACACCCGCGATGGGTGCCAAGAAAAAAAGACACAGAGAGAGAAAAGAGAGAGAGAGAGAGAGAAGAGAGCGGGCAAGGAGGGAAGCGATTTGGCAGCTGCTCAAAGAGGAAAAAAAGGGAGCGCAGGAGGATCCGCTGGGGACACCCTTGGGTGTTTGACAGATCTCTCCGACACCGCCGCCTCCACTTCCAGATTCTCCGGAGCGACTGAAAATAAAGGCATCGCTTCGTCTAATCTGCCTCCCCCTGCCCCCCACGCCACGCCACACTGACTGGTCTGCCCCGCTTTGGGATCTGGTTGCATCTGATGGTGGAATGGAAAGGCGAATTTCAAGATCGCACATTGGCGCGCGCATTGTATCACAATTCCCTCCCCCCCCCCAAAAAAAGGGGGGGAACGAAAGTTAAAATCAGTCCACAGCTGTCTGGCTTTTAAAGGATGAACATCACCTCCTGCTCCTCTTCAACTTTCAAATTAAACATAGTCTCTCTCCAGATATTCATTCCCCTATACTTTCTGGTTCGTTCCTCTGTACACAGGCGCGCATACTCGGGCCCTTTATTTAAAAAAAAAAAAAAGAGGGATTGAAAAGGAACTTCAAAGTTTCCTCCTCATCTGGTGTTCATAATGAGCTTCCAAGTCAAGACAAAGAGCCACAAACTGGAGGTATTCCCCAGTTGCCGAGAAAGCGAACTCTCTCCCGAGATCAGAAGCGAAGAAAGGCGGCGGCTACAAATGTTCCCGAGAGACAATCAGGCATGTCCTCCTCCCATCAAAAGACCGAGGGCTGGGGGGAGGGAGGCAGCGAGGGAATGGCTTTGGTTCCTCGTATTATCCCTCTTCCCCGATGCCAATGTCCCCTCTTTTGCAACTCTGGAGTTCCAAAGCAGGAAATCAAAAAGTTGGAAAATTAGGATCGAATCCATCACGCAATTCCGCCTACGCAGCAAACAGCGCCCCCTAGCAGGATGCCCCTCAGACCCACTCGTGCTCAAGGCCCACGGGAGATTTATGCTATGCCCTGCTCTACATTTACAACCCCACCCGCATCGACACTCTTCGGAAAACGAACCCATCGCTTCGATTCCTACCCTTCCCCCCGCCCCACTCCCTCCACTCCACCCCATATACGACGACCAAGCATTAGTGCCGATCGGCGACAATCCACCTACATTGTAGGCTGGCCGGTTGGGGCCACCCGAAGGGATCCAAGCCCAAGGCAAACGGACTGATGCTCGATTTCCGCAGCATGCAAGCGCTCCGGTTAGTAACATCGTAGAGCTGTCGCGGCGTGACGGCGAATGCCTCCATGCAGTCGTACATCTTTCCGCTCCGGAATCCGCTTCCAGTGAAAATAGGCGAGGGAGAAGGAAGATACGGTGGCGAAAATATGGATGGTGGTGATGATGATGATGATGATGATGATGTTACTAATAGTGAGCTTGTGCTGGTGATCCAAGAAGAAAAGGAAATGTTCCCCTCCCTCCCGGAGAGGCGGCGGGAGGGGGGAAGTGGAGGAATAACTCGGGCTGCTATCAAACGAGCCCGCTCGCGCTCACACGCCACCTTCTCTGCCTCCCGCGTGTAATACACGTCCCGCGTGAAGTTGGGAGCTGAGAAGTCCAGCCTTTCCGATCGCTCCAGCTTTGCTCGCTGAAGAAGCTGCTACCTTGCCGCGAAAGCGGCTAAGGACTCCCCAATTGGTGGGCGTGGCTTGGGAGCGAAAGGGGGCTGGACCCTGTGGGACGGATGCACAAAATCTGACTACACACAACAGTCACATTACGGGGGCATAACACGCCGAGCAGGACCTAGGAAACGCGCCCAAACAGTGATTTGGCAAGCGCGCAACAAGGAACAATAGGCGAACGCGCGCGCGCACGTAGGCAGGGCTGTTGTTGGCGGCCGTGTGTGTGTATGTGTGTGTGTGTGTGTGGGTGGGTGAGTTTGGTTGGGTTTATTTTGTTTTTCCTCCTTTCTGTTGCTGCTTCTCTTTCCCAAGCCGCACCCACGATGGCACTCAGAATGCAGCAAGCAGAAGAAGATTGCGAAGTTTAAGCAAACGTATCAGAGCTGATACGCGTATTTACTCGGAAGAGAGGTCCGCGGAATTGAGGGCTGAGTAAACCCGCGTGCATTCGGGAGGCAAGGCTGACAGATCGCCCACCGAGGGAGCACACCGCATTTTATAATCCGAGAGGAGACGGCCCTATCGTTAGTCTGAGTTCAGTAAACCTATAAAACAAACCGATTTGGGGATAAGGTAGAGCGCGGGGGATTAAGTGCGGCATGATACAGCCTGGCCTGACCTCCCAAATTAGCTCCCTATTTCCATTGTGCTGGAAGAGGTGCTGCCTGCCCCCGTGATGAAGGTTGAGTAACTTTGAAAGTTGATCCCAGGGAAGTTGTCGCCTTGCTACAAATAGCTGCTTTTTGTACGCCTGCCTCTGCCAGCAAAATGTATCGCCTGAAAAAGGGCTCACACTTCTGTATTCACAGCGGGAGAATGGCTGAATAGAAGACATAAGCTTGTCCTGAAAGGTGAGAGGGAAAATAGGTACCTTTCCTTTATAATCCCCTAAGGAGCTTGGCAAAAGTTATGAGCAGAGAATTAATACAGGAAACTCCACTAAAGTCCACATGGAATAAATACAAGGGAACCCATCAGCAACCCAAAATGGTGAATAGGTGGTACAGGTAGTCCTCGGCTTACTATGGTTCATTTAGTGACCATTCGAAGTTACAACGGCACTGAGAAAAGTGGCTTATGACAATTTTTCATACATGACAGTTTATTTATTTATTTATTTATTTATTATTCGTATTTCTATGCCGCCCACTCTCCGAGGACTCTGGCCAGCTTACACCAAAGACAGTATACTAAATAGCATATTGCCCCCTAACAATCTGGGTCCTCATTTTACCCACCTCGGAAGGATGGAAGGCTGAGTCAACCTTGAGCCGGTGAGATTTGATCCGCTGATCTGCTGAACTAGCAGTCAGCTGAAGTAGCTGCAGTACTGCACTCTAACCACTGTGCCACCTCGGCTCTTGTTGCGTTGCAGCAGCCCCACATTGATCACATGATCAAAATTCGAACGCTTGGCAATTGGTTCATATTTATGATGGGTGCAGTGTCCCAGTGACATGTGATCCCCTTTTGCGACCTTCTTACAAGCAAAGTCAATGGGGAAGCCAGATTCACTTAACAACCAAGCTACTAACTTAACAACTGCAGTGATTCACTTAACAACTGTGGCAGAAAAGGTCATAAAATGGGGAAATTCACTTAACGACTGTCTCACTTAGCAATGGAAATGTTGGGCTCCATTGTGGTTGTAAATCAAGGACTACCTGTAATTGTCCTGGAATATCTTTGTAGGAAGGAGCTTTGGATCCCTGGAATCAACTTTTAAATAGGATTACTGCAAGTACAGTAATAGAGCATTCAGCAGAGTACTTGAAATGATGTTTATTCTGCTCATTGTGTCTTAATTATTATCATGGAGAACCCCAGCAGATAAATTACTCATGGCCAAATCACAGCATAGAAAGCAGCTTCTTCTCTTCCCATGTCCACGTAGTTATGTGGAACAGGAATTTAGTTCTGAAATCCAACACTTAATTCCAAAATCAAGGGATGGGATTTTGGAAAGCTACCCAAATAATTAGTCTTTTGTGCATATATATAAAAAATAAACCAACTCTGAATTCAAAACATATCTTGCTGCTTTTGTACGCATAATCAGAATAGTTAAAGAGATAAATAATTCCACATTGCAAATGCATGTTTTATCCACTTAAAAAAAAAACCTCAGTGAGTACAATATCTGGGCACAGCAGAGGAATCTGAATTTAATTAATAGAACTAAAACAGTGTGATATTGATTTATGTGACTGCTACATTCTCATGTCACAGCACAGAGCAGATTCATTCTTTACCACATTCAGATGTACAGTCTCCCCACCCCCCCACTCTTCCCAGCCAGTCTCTCAAATTGCTATAAGAAATTTTGTAGTGGAGCAGTACATATTCAGAGTATAATCTGGCCATGTGGCAAGTGAACTAACTGGAGTAATCACTTTTTCACATGCAAAATCCCTTCTGGATCTAATTTGTCCCTACAAATAGGACCAGAGTTTAATATGCAGAAATCAACAAATGAAACATTTCAAAATGAGTGACTCTAGCATCCACCTATTGATAGATAACACCTGCCTGTCACAGGTAATACTGTTGCTCTCAATAAAGCCATTTAGCTCTTTGGGCGGATTCATGCATTACGGACAATGTGGTTATAGGGAGAGTGATGCAATGTATAAGATGATGGACTAGAACTGAGGATCGGGTTCAACTCCATCCTCAGCATTGGAAAGTCATCAAGTCAATCTGGCTGCTGGAGGAAAGATAAGGTAATGAAATATAAAAAGTCTTTCAAAAAGTCTTTGATAATCATCCAAGACTTCTCAATAAGCCTAACAATCATGTAAAAGATGGGGTGTGGGGTATCCTCATGTGGATACACTATTGGCTAAAGGATAGAAAACAAGGAGTGAATGGACCTTCCTCACGAAGGATGGAATTAGTAGAGCCTTCCTAGGATTGGTGCTTCTCAAGACATTTATAGATGATCTGGAGCTGGGTGAGATGAGTGGAATAGTCACATTGGCTGGTGACATTCAATTGTTCAGAATGGCAAAAATAATAAGGGACTGCAAAAAGCCCATCAGAGAAATGGGCACCAAAATGTCAGATGTCATTTGACATGAGCATGTGTAACGTAGCGAACATCGGTGCCAAAAATCCTTATATCAACTACTGGGATCAGAGTTAGCAGTGATTGATGAGGAAAGAGACTTTGGAGGAATGGTAAACAGTTGACTGAAGGTGTGGACCCTGTATATGTCCAGTTCCACGGAAAAGGCCAACAGCATATTAGGGACTATAAGACGTAGTATTGAAAAAGGGCTGCCAATATTATAATGCTCTTACATAAATCAATGGTGCAAGAGTGCACCTGGAATATTGTATGCACTTCTGTCACTGTACCTCAAAAGGGATATAAGAGAGCTAGAAAATGTTTGGAGGAGGACAACTAAGATGATCAAGGGGCTGAAGCAACTTCGCTATGAGGAAATCTTGCCACATTTTTAGTTTTTAAAGCTTTGTAGTCTAGAAAGGGGGCAAACAAGAGGGGATATAATAGAGGTATATAAAAACATGTGTGGTGTTGATAAAGTGGAGAATAAGGTGTTTTTCCCTTCCCAAAATATAGTACTGGAGGTTACCCAGTGAAACCAACTGAAGGAAGAAACAGGACAAACAAAAGAAAATATTTTTGTAACCAAAGTTTGGAATTTGTTACCACAAGATGTGGTACAGTCTACCAGCTATGGCTGGCTTCAAAAAAGAATTGGACCAATTCATGGAAGTCATGGGAAGTATAACAGTCTCTAAAGGCCATTTGTGGCAGATAGTGGGCTTCCTTGTACAGTTGCTTTGCCACTGTGAGAACAGAGCCCTAATCCACCAGGACACTACAAGCAAACAATAAATAAACAAATAAATGATTTGTTTATTGACACAATTAGCTAGAACATATTGACCCATAAACCATGAATTGTAAACTACAATAACTGGTTTACACAAGCCAAAATCAAATTCCCACATCATGGTTTACTGCATAATCTCTCTCCACAGCACCTGTAAAAATGGTAATAAATATTGTTGAGCCAAATATTATTACATTTGGCATGCAGACTCTTGAAAGGCCTTTTCATCATGTAAAAGGAAGCAAATTAATTAAGTAAACTCGCTTTATGTTAGTCACATATATTAATCATTAATAATACGTCCTCCCAAGCTTTTTTCAGCCCTGAGTCTACAAATATGACCCTCAATGGACAAACATTTTGCTTTGACCCTTATTTTTTTTCTACAAATCTCATTCCAAATTTGATGCCAGTCTTTATCAAGTAAGTGATGTGACAAATAGAACCATGTGGAATAAGAACTTAGAAAGTTTATCTGAGCAGTTAAATGAGGTGCATGAGCTCTCAATGGATCTGGGAACTTTCTTCAGCAGTAATCTTGAACAAAACTCAGTTTCACTGTATCAAAATATAAGTTTGCAAATATAGAAATATGGAGCCCTAAATTATTTGGCAGCCATGGTAGCCAGGTTATCTTCATTGAGAAGAGAGTGGGAAATATTCTGAGGTTATTGATTGGCTGATAAATAACCATGGGCACATACTTCCTACCCTCCCTTATAAAACACTATCACATCCCTAGAATCTTATCATGAATGATCTGTTCACATGAATACACCTCCCCAAAAGGGAGAGAGGAAAGCATAATGAAATTTACGTACAGTGGTCCTGTGGTCATTTTAACAGAAAAAATAGAAATTGTTTTAGAATGTGAAAGATTGCTTTAAGATTCTTTAAATTTTGATGAGATGAATCCCATTGAAGGAGTGAATGTGGAGTGGGGCTGGGTCAAATTGTCCATAAGGTCAACCTGAGCCAGCTGTCAATTATTTTACTTTAGATACATTCTATAGAGATCTAGCTCTCTGGAGAAGGCTCTGATGCTGAAAAAGATGGAAGGAAAGAGAAGAAGAAGGACGACCAGCAGCAAGTCCAAAATCAGTTGCAGTGTTGATGAATGCATCATTGGGAGACCTGAAGGATTATCCTGGGGACAGATCCTCCTGGAGAAAATCAGCCTATGTGGCTGGCACATAATCAGTCAGTCAGTCAGTCAGTCATCACACCTCCCTCTCTGGAATTTATCAGTTGTGCAATGAAATAACCCAACTACTAAATCTGAGCATAGCAAGGCAGCTCAATTCTCAACCTGGTGCAGTTTCAGGCACTTATATGTTCTCCTGCTATAAGACACATGTTTTGGCCACTTTAGTTAATCCCCGTGGTCAATGAAGCACTTGCTCTCACAGCTCCCAATTGGTATGGCATTCCCAGACTATGTCCCACCATAGTCCCAAAGGTTCTTTTTCCAAAAGGCAACTGGACTTTCCTAGGGTTTTTTTTTTTCTCTCTTTGAAAACGTTTCACTTCTCATCCAAGAACCTTCTACCAGAACCGAAGAAGCTTGTTGGGTGAGAGGCAAAACGTTTTCAAAGAAAAAAAAAATCAAGAAAGTAAGTCCACTTGTCTTTTGGGGGAAAAAAACCACCTTTGGGACAGCCATGACCTGGATAATTGAGAATATTCATATACCTGTCCCACAATACACTCTGACCCCATCTGGTTCATTGGCTATCTGCTTTTCGACAGAGTAAATCTCTGAGATTGTTCAGTAAAATGTGCCAATGTTTATTTTGCTTCTCAAATGGCTGAATAGCCCCATCATGGTGGAGCCTGCCCCTTCCCAGAGGCTGAAATAAATTGGCTCATTTATGCACACACACACACACACACACGGGGATGCTAAGATCTTTTCACCCTCCTCTCTCTGTCTTGTTTCCACTAAATGGGCCAATATATACACACTTGCTAGTTGTGCTGGAGAAGGCCTACATTTGTACCTCCCTCTGTCTTGGCTGAGTTAGGCCTCTTCCCTGCCTCCCCCAGCCCCTATGCCAAACTTAAATTCCTTTGTCCCTTGCCGAGTTTGGGCAAACCAACATCAGCTTTCCCCACTAACTAAACTGGGTTTACACAGACCCCCTCTGCCCCCCCCAGGTAATCTGGACTCTCTCTGTGTTGGTTGGGCTAGGCTCTGTGCCAGTGGTTAGCCAGACCAGGCCAGGCTGTTCCACCTCCCTCTCCGGCAGCCTCTCCCTTTCCTTCCAGCTCAAAGGCCGAGCGAGCGAGCGGAGCGTCAGCGGAGCCAGCGGTATGAACTCCGCAAGAACCCCCTTTGGGTGCAGTAACCTCTACATGACCCAGCTCCATGGCAGCCTTTCCCTTCTCTTCTCTGCAGGCCCTTGCTTTTTTTCCTTTGGCTCAGCTTTTCCACAGGCTCCTTCTGTCCTGCAGCCTTCGGAAACGGCTTCACAGTTCTCCCACTGATGCCCGTCTTCGGCCACCCGTCCCCTCACCATCGCTTTGGCAACAAGTCCGTTTTGAGCCCTTGTTTTTTAAACGCAACTTAAAAGCTGCCGATGTTGCGTTTAGCCTTTGCAGCAAAAGGCTTCAGATTTGCATGCAAGGTATTCACATACACAGTGGAGCGGTAACCTCAAGTGTTTTTCCTCTCCCTCAAGCTTTCATTCCACCCATGCTCTGTACACTGAGTGTAGTCCATGAGTAGGGAGGGAGGGAGGGAGGGAAGTTAAAGATCTACAAAGACTTAAAAACAGCACAAATCTAAAGGTTTCGGCATGCTACATTATCAAGGCCAGAAAGAGAATCCTCTGGATTTGCCACAAAACAGGCTGAGATTCTTACTATCTATGAACAAGATTAATTGGTGGTCTTTTGACAGGGGCAGTGGGAAGGAACCCCCTACCCCCATGTGCTTTGCCCCGTGCAACTCCTATGTCCATCGTTTCCCAACTGTGAGGAATGCATCCCGCTGAATTACAATCCCCTTTCACATACAATCAAACCCTGCTCTGCACCCCATTTAGGCTTTCCCCCAAAACTAATACCGCATGCCAGCATTCACAATGGATAGTTTTAAATTGCAGATTCAATCATCTCCTCCTCCCAATATTTAAAAGGAATGGGGGGGGGGAGGAGATAAAAAAAAAAAGAAAGTTCCCTCCATGCAAGAATCACTCCTGGACCCTTAATAACCGAGGAAGTGTAGATAGGAGGGAGATCTTAGTTTTAAAGGACATTAGTTGGTTCAGTTGACTTAGTAAATAATAAACTTTTCCTGAGCACACAGGAGCATCCCCCCCACACTCCCCCAAAAGATCTCCTGCCTGTACTGACACAAGACTCTGCCCTGCAGCTGCTCCCCCTTTCCCCTGCTTGTGGCTTTTCGTTGCTGAGTAGAGACTCATACCCGGCGAGGGTTTCTTCCTTGCATCCTTCTGGCTGCACTGCAGAGATCAGAAAGGTTCCAATTAGCCTGGCCCGCCTGCCACTAATTCAAACCAGAAGTTGCTTTGCACGGGCTCTGCTTTGTGGCTGAGCTGTGCTGGAGTCCCTGCATATAAAGGCATTCCCTCCCTTGCTCTCTCTCTCTCCCCTTCCCCATTACCCCCATATTGAAACATATCTCCAGAGGGGAAGAAGGGAGAAGGAGGGCAGGAGGAAAAGGATCTTTCACCAAAGTCTGGTCTGAAATGTCTTCTTTAACTTTGCAATGCCCTTGTTTTATTTTCTTAGTGGTGTTTTTTTCCCCCCTTACCTGCAACTTTCAATTTAAAAAAAACAACAACAAACCAGTGTTTCCCAGATTAGGGTTATCTTTTGGATCAGTCCCATATGTCATTTCCCCCTACATACTACAGCCCCTCAACAGCTACATGAATTAATGAAGGGAGTGGAATTATATATCCAACCCTCAACCGCAAATTAGATAGAGTAGTATCTTTTCAAGTATAAGAAGCATAACAAAGTCGTCTGATTGCATTAGAACCATTCACAGGCCAAAATTAAACATGCATTATTATTATCTGATGAAGAAAGGAAGGAGAATTATATTGAAAAAGGAGACACTAAATACAAGTCTTTCTATTTTAGACAGTCTTATTGTGAACTACAATTCTTCAGATGCCTGGAAATCTGTCTTGATATGCATATGGACATGAAGACATGCCCATGAAAAATATTAACAACAAAATGGTCAGAGAAAAATAAATAAACGTAACTTAATTCCATTAGAAGACTGCAACTCATCTTGAAACATTCAGAAATTGGATGAACCAGGAAGAAACATAATTATAAACCTGAAACAATCCAGAATCAAAAGGTCCAGGGGAAAAAAAAGCCTTTTAGAGCAAAAGATGTTAAGGTTTTTAGAAGACTGCCATTATTCAATACCCCAGGAGTGAAAATTCTACAAATGTTGCTGTAATATCGTTTCAAAAAGCTCGAAACAGCTTGACTATGGGTGAAGAACCTTGGGAATTGTAGTTCAGCAACCCGAGGTCCAGATTTTTTTTCCTTCAAAATGATAATTTGAGGGCATCAATCTTCTGGTTAATGAGTACTGAATACATTAGTGAAAGGATGAGCAGTCTACTTCATTAGATCCACAAACTGAACACATAAAGCTGACTTAGGATAAGGCAGTCCAACTTCCATCTAATTCAGTGCAGCCTACTGTGACTAGTTATGGATATCCATATTCTTAGGCAAGAGTGCTTCTTGGCCCGGGTGACACCTTTTAATCCAGCCTCCCCAATCCAACACCTTCCAGATGTGTTGGATTGCAATCCTTGTATGTCCAGCCAGAATTCTGGTGGTTATTTTCCAATAAATGTGGAGGGTGCCAGGTTGAAAAAGAAGGACATTTAGTAGAGATATATCAGACCAAACCAATGTCTAGCATTAAGCTGTAGATTGGCTCCTTGTAACTCTAATTATAATGGTGGGCATGCATACACTGAAATAAAAGAGAGACTAAACCAAGACACTAATGCAGAAATAAACTGTAATCCTTTCCCAAAATAATAAGAAAAACCAAAACCATCATTTTAAAGGTGGACCTCTAGAGAAATATTCACACGACTTAGCCACTTAATACAATAAGGAGATCTTACAGTATGTATCTAGTCTTCTAGTTTTTGGGTCAGTTGACTGGGTAGCTATATTTGCACAAGTACAATACAGTTTTTGGATACCATCATAAATACTCAACACCCCTCCCTCCCAGCAGATGCAATAAATGCTTGAAGTTGAATCCATGCTGTATATGAACACAACTGAGTGACCCTGGGCTGGAAGCCAGATACTTCTAATGTAACAGTTACATGTCCAATGGCTGTATGAATTGGAAGTCAATCAGTGTAGCTCAGTGGTTCGGACAGGTTCTATAGAACCAGTAGTAAAACCAGCGGGAGGCTCCGCCCACTGGCCCGGACATCATCAGAAGCAATCTGTGCATGAGCGAACTGGTAGTACAATGCGAACTGGTAGTAAAGGTAAGTAGAACCCACCCCTGGTGTAGCTTAGATACTACACTTTCCTGAGATAGTTGGCTACCTGGCAATCTATTGCAGAGAGAGAGAGAGGGAGGGAGGGAGGGAGGCAGGCAGGCAGGCAGGCAGGCAGACAGACAGACAGACAGACAGACAGACAGGCAGGCTGAACCCTCTTCTTACTTTTGGGAATAGAGTGGAATAGGAGCAGGAATTCCTGCACTAGATACAAAGCATATCTGTGATTTGGCTGAGCAGAAAGGAAAGTGGGGATGGAAAACATCTACTTTCTTCCATGAAGCCATGGAAATGGGAAAGAATAATGTGACTTTAAAAAAACACACACATAATTTCTATAATTCCTGAACCAGAAATTTGGGAGACGGGCTGAGCAAAAGGGTATAAAAATATAAGAGCTTTTGTCTTCTATTGTAACCAGAGAAGCAGGATTTGCTGAGGCTAGGATTTCAAGTTAAATAGGAATTCTATTTAACACAATACTAGTGACAGCCTTGGATCTCTTGCAAGATAGAGTGGCTGCCTGGCTCCTTGCAATTTTCTGTCTTTGTTCTAGCTGGGCCCATGGTCTTCTCAAATCAGCAAGTCTGGAGGCTCTCACAACTTCTGCTGGGACAGCAGATCAAAGCCGTGGCCAGAAGACAATCAGCTCCAGCTAGTGTTCCAAATAGGACAACTTTGAAATGAGATATGCTAGTTTTGCAGTCACATAATGCTTTCATCACACAGGTTTTGACCACTACTGTAAGGTGCACTGCTTGGACATGCCTTTAACTT